AACGCTTCCACATCTTTCCTGTAATGAGGCAACCAGAACTGGACACAATACTCCACGTGGCCAAACCAGGCTTTGAATGACGACTTTGAATTTGGGGAGGCGATGGCCGAGTGGTATTATCGCTGGACTGTTAATCCAAAGACCCGGATAACATTCTGGGGACGTGGGTTCGAATCCCACCACGGCAGATGGTGGAATTTGAATTCAGTAAATATCTGGAATTGAGAATCTAATGATGACTGTGAATCCAGTGTCGATTGTTGGAAGAACCCATCTGGTTCACTAATGCCCTTTAGGGAAGGAAACTGCCATCCTTACCTGGTCTGGACTACATGTGACTCCAGACCCACGGCAATGTGGTTGACTCTTAACTCCCCTGTGGGCAATTAGGGATGGGCAATAAATGCTGCCTAACCAGCGATGCCCTCATCCCATGAATGAATAAAGAAAAACAAAAAAATATATAATTCTGAGAAGTTTACGAAGGATACCTTTATGAGATTTCAACCTTTTCCCCATTCATATACTTGGAAAAGAGACAGCAGCAAGGTGCTCCATCAACACAGTGCACTGCAGCAACTCACCAAGCTTGCTTTGATGGCACCTTCCAAACCTACAAAATTGGACTACCTACAACAACAGAGGTTGTAGATATATGAAAATGCCAGCACCTGTGAGATCCCCTCAAAGTCACACTCAATTGTGACTTTGCTAGCTGAAAATCTGGAAACACCTTCCTAAAAGCACTGTGGATGCACTTGCACCACATGGACTGCATGACTCAGGAAGTTGGCTCATCCCCACATTCTCAAGTGTAATTAGAGATGAGCAGTAAATGCTGCTCTTGCTCACAATACTCATCCCAAGGATGAATTTAAAAAAGTTGTTTGTATCCCAAAAAGCTCCTAGATTTTTTAACATTCGTTCTTTCATAAGATGTCGGTGTTCCCGGCAAGGCCAGCATTAATTGCCCCCATCTCTACATGGGTGTCTTGCTGTGTTATTTATTATAGCTTTGATATTGCCTTCAAAATTTTCATTCACTCATGGAACCTGGATGTCACTGGTTGGCCAGCATTTATTGACCACCACCGAGCTGCTCAAGAAGGTGTGCTATTAATCTATCATTTTCTTCCTTAAAAGCAGAGATCTAAATAAAAATCGAACTTTCTTTTCCAATATCTGCCAAATGACCAAAGGGATGTTCACAAATTTTCTCTTCAGTATTATTGCTTTCAAATCTAATGTTTAAGTTATGTTCCATCAATGGGATTTTGACAAAAGGATTTACTTCATGAACTGCTAATTGATATGAAGTAGTAGGAATACAGCTTTCAAGCATTACAGTCAAATTGATTGATGGGGCTCACACTTCAAAACAAATGAAGATTCAAATTAACCATCCTGGAACCTCTTATTCCCAGGAGTAACTAAAAAGCTATTGGCTTGTTCCCAACTCCACAGCACATGCTTGTTGTAACCACAGTAACCATCTCACAAATGAATAAAGCCGCCTCAATCCGCACAACCAATAGTCCTGAAGGCTCAAGTCAGAGAAAAGTAATCAATAACTTTTTCTGAGCATTTCTACAGGGGCCACATTCACATCCTTCATGTTTTTCTGATTTTCTCCCTCGGAGTAAACCTCCAGCTAAATGCTCCACAAATTTGCTTTTCAAGATATTCTAGCAGAAAAGAAAGATACAAAATAAAGAGTATGAAATACCAGCAAAATTCATACATAAGGAATATAAGCTTCAGAGAATACGGACCACCAAATAAAACTTGTGTTCAGTAGAGGACTGCAAAATAATTCAATTAATAATTATGAACAATAGTGCATTTATTGTTAGTTTGAAACTGGCATCAAGCCGGGCACATGACAAGCCACAAGCAACACCAGTGTGTACTGGACTCCCCAAATAACGTACATGGCTACACTGTTTCAAACCTTCATTTATAAACTGTGCAATTCTTAAACTGTGCATTTTCTTAAAAAGCTGACAGATAGAGAAGTGACATATTTGTTTGTGTTCTGCAACTATTTTCAGCTAATCAGATATCCCAAAAAACTGAAGTACTGCAGATGCTAAAGATCTGAAATAAAAACAAAGTGACTGAGAAACTCAGCAGATCTGGTGGTAGTTGTGGAGAGAGAAGAAGAATTAACATTTTGAGTCCCTTTGGATTTCCAAAAATCAATAGTTATCCTGAATACACAAGGTGCTCAGTAGCAACACTCAAAATAACCTGACACTAGAAAATGCTGCCACGTACCCAACATTATTAAATTTTTGAAAGTGGATTAAGTCACACTTCATTTGATTTTTGTGCACTCTTGGATCTTTACTGGTAGCTGTACAATCTGGGCATCACACAACAAAAGCAACATCTTCTCAAAAGCATGGGTCAAAATCATTGAGTCATACAGCAGGAGAACAGACCCTTCAATCCAAGCAGTCCATATCGAACATGATCCCAAACAAAACTAGTCCCACCTGACTGCTCCTGGCCCATATCCCTCCAAACCTTTCCTATTCATGTAGTCTAGGTTGTGAATTATAATTAGAGGTGGTGTGTAGTTTTTAATTTTGTATTTTAATAGTTGTATTCTTCATTGCTTCTCCCTGTAGCTTTCCCTCCGATTCAGCCTCTCCCTGTAGCTCAAACCCTCCAACCTTGGCAACATTCTTGTAAATTTTTTCTGAACTCTTTCAAGTTTCACAACATCCTTCCGACAGCAGAGAGACATGAATTGAATGCAGTATTCCAAAAATGGCCTAACTGATGTCCTGTACAGTTGCAACATGACCTCCCAACTCCTATACTCAATGCACTAGCCAATAAGGGCAACTATACCAAATGCCTTCTTCACTATCCTGTCTACCTGGGATTCCATTATGAACCTGCACGCCAAAGTCTCTTCACTCTGCAACACTCCCCAGGACCTTACCATTAAGTGCACAAGTCCTGCGCAGATTTGCCTTCCCAAAATGCAGTAACTCACTTTTATCTAAATTAAACTGCATCTGCCACTTCTCAGCCCATTGGCCCATCTGATCAAGGTGCTGTTGAACTCTAAGGTAAACTTCGTTGCTGTCCACTACTCAACGAAATTTGGTGTCATGTGCAATCTTACGAACCATACTGTCTACATTCACATCCAAATCATTTACATAAATGACAAAAAGCAAAAGTATGCAGTCATTCAAACAGAGGTGACTTCATCGGCTTGGGCACTTCCAGAGTGATGGAAGATGGTCACATACCTAAGGATTTTCTGTATGACAAGGTAGCCAGAGTTAGATGACAAGTCTCCACTTCAAGAATGTTGACAAAGGAGACATAAAGGCATTAAGCTTCGAATCCGAAAGCTGAGACACATCGGCGGATGAAGCGGGCAATTTACTCTGGGCAACCAATGATGTTTCGTAGATAGGCGACAAACATCAACACCAAATATCAAGACACAACGATAACTGCTAACCACTTCAAATGGTACTTGCCAAGAACCTGCTTCTCACAGCTTGGTCCCTTCATCTGCACTACCAGCTGCAGCTCCCCTGTGATGACCATCCTCGTTCTCTAGATCCTGCTCAGTCCCCACCACAGCCCAGCTCAGCTCAATCTCAATGCTCCTCTACATCCCTCCTCAACCCCTCACTGTTGCTCGCTAATGTTTTCCCCTTTCCCTCAAATTACATCCCCTTCCCCATCACAAGTTATCCTTTCTGCATTGAACAGGCAAGGTATATTGACACCTTCCCCAGTTGTACAGTGAGCTTGTTTCCCACCTCATACTCTTCTCCAGTCTGCTTCTTCAGGGTACAGAGAGAAACAAGCAGACTGGGGAAGAGTATGAGGTGGGAAACAAGCCCACTGCACAGCTGGGGAAGGTCTGGAGTTTGGGCGAATGCAGTCAGCATGAGAAAGGGCAGGGGAAAACCGGGGCCAAATGGAGAAGGAGATTTTTAGGGCCTACTAGCTGAGGACAGGACAGGACAGGGGTGGAAACAAAACTGGCTGGGGAAGGGGAACACAAAACAGAATTTGCTGGAAAATCTCAGCAGATCTGGCAGCATCTGTGAAGAGAAATCAGAGTTAACATTTCAGATCCAGTGATCCTTCTTCAGAACTGAAAGGGGTAGGGGATGTAGTTTGAGGGAAAGGGGAAAACATTAGCGAGCAACAGGGAGGGGCTGAGGAAGGATGCAGAGGAGCGTTGAGATTGAGCTGAGCTGGGCTGTTGTGGGATATCTGAGCAGGATCTAGAGAACGAGGATGGTCATCACCGGGGAGCTGCGGGTAGAAGTGGTGGAGGGGAGAATGTGGGAAGTCAAATAGCGGTGGGGTGAGTACTGAAGGGGGTGTTGGGGACTCAACGAGGAGGAGCTCTTGGGGGCGGGTGGGGAGGGTCTGGAATGGTATTGAAGCAAGCTGGTGGGGTGGCTCTTAGAGGTGTTCACAGCAGATTGCATCCGGTTTATTTGATGTTGAAGTTGGGTGGTGGGGGGTTGAGAGGTATTGAGGGCTGGGGGGTTGTTGACGGCAGGGGTAAGGGTTGATAGGGATGTTGAGGTTAGGTGGGTGGCGGGATTTGTGGGCTGGGATTGGGGGAGGTGGAGCTGGAGGCGGGGATGGGTAGGTGAAGCTGTGGGCGGGGATTGGTGGGTGGAGCCATGGGAAGGGATTGGGGGAGGTGGAGCTGTGGGCAGGGATTGGGGGGTGGAGCCAGG